TTTGGATTTGAATGAGCCAATGCAGTTTATTTCAAACGGGATTACAGAGTTTTTATTTCCATAACAAATCTATCATCATAATGGAGTTATAAATAATGTTTCTTTCACAAATCCGAAAATTTTTGTTGTTCGCATAATATTTGCCTTCACGATTTCTCTTTAATCTCTTTCTTACCCGGCATATTAAAAAACGGGCAGTATTCAAATTAACTAGATATGTAAAAAAAAAATCAAATTGACATGCACATTTTCATTTTTTTTTTTAAAAAAAAAATTTGGATTTGAATGAGCCAATGCAGTTTATTTCAAACGGGATTACAGAGTTTTTATTTCCATAACAAATCTATCATCGTATATAAGTTACTCTAAATAAACAACGATTACTGAGTCTATGGATTTTATAGTCCGAGATGTTGTCGTAAAACCTATTCTATGTAATCTTCAATTGGAGGGCATGAACACAAAAGGTTCCTATCACCAAAGGCATCATCTGCATTGTAAAAAAAAAAAAAAGATTATGACAAGAGTCTAATAATAACAAATGATGAGTGAGTAAATTAAATAAGACATACCAACTCTTCCTACAGTCGGCCAGAATTTTTTCTCCTTCAAATATTTCAAGGGAAAAGCGGCATCCTCTCGTGTGTAGGCTTTATCCCATGAAGCCCGAACTAAAGTTTGTATTGTGTGCGGCGAATTCTTAAGCACATTATCATCTTTGGGTTGTAAACCTTTTTCGATCAATTCAATTTCCTTTCTAATTGAAATCATTGTATCACAGAAACGATCCAGTTCTGCCTTCGACTCGGACTCGGTGGGCTCTACCATCAGGGTATTGACAACCGGCCAGGACATCGTTGGAGAATGGAAACCATAGTCCTAAGAGGAAATTCATATTTGATTTTCATGCTTGAAATGACGAATCGTTGAAGAACAAGTGTTCTCATACCTGAAGACGTTTTGCGATATCAATAGCTTGTATATTTGCGCTTTCTCCAAAGGGACCGATGTCAATTATGAACTCGTGTGCGCACATGCCGTTTTTGTTGGTGTATAAAATCTTGTAATGGTTGGATAACCGACGCGCCAGATAATTTGCATTCAGCAACGCTAATTGGGTCGCAGACTTGAGTCCTTCTCCACCTAAAAAGGAGGTTCATAAAACACCAGGCCAACATTAAATGCCACATTCCAATAAGAATAAAAATAACAACCCATCATTTTAATGTACGCCCAGGAGATAGGTAAGATATTCGCAGAGCCATAAGGCGCAGCGGACACAGGACCAATGCCCTTTTCACCGCCAGTCTTGACAATGGGATGCTTGGGCAAGAAAGGTACAAGGTGAGATTTCCTGTAAATCAAAGATATCATCGTTACCCTTGGAAATTGACCCCCATGTTTCAGGCTAATAAACGTTCAGAGATCACTCACACTCCGATAGGTCCTACGCCGGGACCTCCACCTCCATGAGGAATGCTAAAGAAAAACTAATATTTTTACTAAAGGGTAAAATGGAAAGTAAATGAGAATAAAAAATTTTATATACCAAAATGTTTTATGTAAATTCAGGTGACAAACATCTGCACCAATGCTGGCTGGATTACATAATCCGATCTGCGCATTTAAATTTGCGCCATCCATATATACCTGCCCGCCGTATTTGTGGATTATTTCACAGGCTTGAACTACTCCCTCCTCAAACACACCGTATGTCGATGGATATGTAACCATGAAAGCCGCCAATCGATCCTTATACTTTTCCGCTTTTTTCTCGAGGTCCTTTATGTCGAGATCACCTCTTTTACATTCGACTGGAACAACAGACATGCCTGCCATCACTGCTGAGGCTGGATTCGTACCATGAGCGGAATCAGGAATAAGACAAACATCGCGATCTTTGTCTCCACGTGATTTGTGGTATGCATCGATAACACGAAGTCCGGTATATTCTCCTTGGGCTCCAGAGTTGGGCTGCAATGAGGCACCATCAAATCCAGTAATCGCGGCAAGATCATTTTCAAGCTCCTAAGGGAAACTTAATTGAATATTACACAATTCTCTGTGCCAAAAGTTTTTAAATTCATTTGAAATATTGGAATTACCTGAATTAAAGTTTTATACCCCCTGACTTGGTCGGACGGCGCAAAGGGATGAATTTCGGCAAATTCTGGCCACGTAACCGGAATCATTTCTGTTGTGGCATTGAGTTTCATGGTGCAGCTACCTAAAGAGATCATCGAGTGAACCAACGAAAGATCTTTAGATTGCAAGTGGTAAATGTATCTCAACATCTCGGTCTCTGAATGATAGGAATTAAATGTAGGATGTTGCATAAAAGAAGAAGTGCGAATAAATTTCTCCGGAATGACGGGCTCGTGAACTCTCGATAAATCAGGCTTGTAATTTGAATCTTTGGTAAATACTCGAATAAGGTTTTCTAAATCCTCCTCCGTGACAGTCT